CTCATAGCTTCTCTCTCTCATAGCTTCTCTCTCCATCATAGCTTCTCTCTCTCCATCATAGCTTCTCTCTCTCATAGCTTCTCTCTCTCATAGCTTCTCTCTCTCATAGCTTCTCTCTCCATCATAGCTTCTCTCTCTCTCATAGCTTCTCTCTCTGTCTATCATCAGGGCTTCTCTCTCTCATAGCTTCTCTCTCTGTCTATCATCAGGGCGCTGCAGAAGTCACGCTTCCACTACATGAACAGCGTCATGCTTCGCGACGGCGTCCGCTGCGAGGTCGTGAAACAACAGAACGTGCTCGACGATCTCGCAGGCCGGCGCGAGCAGCGCCACCTGGAGTTGGCGCGCAGCAACGTGACGATCGGACACGCTGAAGAGCGAATGCTCGCGCTGCGCCGATTATACGCCTCCGCCGTGAAGAGCAGGAACGAGAGGTAGGGGGCGCTAGCGGCAGTTGAAGAGCGAGATGTAGGGGGCGCTAGCGGCGCCTAACGAGAGGTAGGGGGCGCCAGCGGCGGCTGAGGAGCTCGCGTACCGTCATTAAATCAGTCAATCAATCAATCAATTAATCAATCAATAGACATTGAATGCAAGCAAGCAGGCAACAGCCTAGTGAATGCTTGTGTACGGTTGTTAAATCAGTCAATCAATCAATCAATCAATCAATTAATTAATCAATTAATAGTTGTCCTATGCAAGCAGGCAGGCAGTAGCCTGGCGAACAACAATTCTCTGTCATAGATTAACGGGTCGAAGTCTTCTCCTTCGTTCTGCCACAGAGGAATCCAGCTGATAGAGAGGAACGAGGAGATCTGTGTGTTTCAGGAGAAGCTGAACACCTTCGAACACCTGATCCAAAACGGAGATGTCGAAATGCAGGTGTGTTTACCTGCTCGTTAATGCACACAGGTATGTTTACCTGGTCGTTAGGTGCATTGGACGTTGTTCCCAGAGTCATTCTTGTAACAACAAACAAATTATACAATAAAAACAATACACATGTACTTAAGCTACAGTTGCATGCTACGGTTGCATGCTACAGTTGCATGCTACAATCAACAGTTGCACGCTACAATCACACCATGCTACAGTTGCACGCTACAATCACACCATGCTACAGTTGCACGCTACAATCACCCCATGCTACAGTTGCATGCTACAATCACCCCATGCTACAGTTGTGCGCTACAATCACACCATGCTACAGTTGCACGCTACAATCACACCATGCTACAGTTGTGTGTTACAATCACACCATGCTACAGTTGCACGCTACAATCACACCATGCTA